CAAACGGAAGAAGGTCGAGTCACTTGCCCCATCGTGAAAACCAGAAAACTTAACTTTAGGTAATATACCAGTCGCTATTCGAATTACCCTACCGTGAAATAACAAATGAATTATGTTCGTCACGTCCAAAACAAATTGACTTGATGGAGGACACCCGATCATAATTGGTCGTTCCTAAGTGATCTACAGATCTCGAAAAGAATGTTGAATAATATCACCGACATTATTACTTGTCTGTTTATTTACGACACCCGTCACTGTGCCTGTGTGTTTACGAACAAACACCCTTACAGTGACGGCATTGATAGTCGAGGTCGAGTTACAAGGACGTCAGAACCCGGCGACGGAAGTTGCGTATTTAGCAACAGCAGCAGACGACTTCTCGAAATATAAATATATTAGAATTTCAATCGAATATTTTAATGAACATTATGGTGTTAAATACGTATTACTGTATTCTGTTTACCTATTAAATACATTATGTACGTTTCCAAATGTGAGGAGCGGGCGACGCAGACGGAAAATGATAGCTAAAAGTGTGCCACGGTAACCCATATTCAAAGCTCATTTTAAATTGAAACTCACCGAAGAAATCACAAAGAAATTTAAAGAACGCGAGCGCATAGTCAGTCTGCAATACAATCAAAGACGATTCCCTTTTTTGATAGAACATGTATAATCACAGTAGCGGCCGGCGGCACGGAGGGGGGGGGGCAGAGGGGGTGGTCGCCCCACTCGAAACAAATTGGGGGGGGGGGGGCTCGCTGCTCCAAAATCAAGCTGTGTCAGCAAAATTTGTCCCTCAACATGCAGGAAATAGCGTTTCAGAGGGAGATGCCCCGGAAACCCTAGTAAGGTCGCGCCTTCGGCCCGATGTTAGTGAGCAGATCTCGCCCTTGCAACAATTCGTGCCGCCGCCTCTGAATCGGACACGCGAAAACAGTTATTTGGACAATAATGCGGGCATTTATTTGAATCAAATCGGAATACTTGATACTTTAAAAAATCACCCTGCGTCTTGAAACTTTAAATCTGGTATAATCCTTGGGGAATTATAGCACCATCTTCACTATAGAACGATGCAGGTTAACTATCTTTAAATAACGTGAAAGTACTAGGGTTTATATTTGTATCCACTGTGTGAAAATTCAGCTGCCTGTATTGGTACTTACCATTACTTATTTATACATATGCTTGTGATTACCCCCCCTGTGAATAAATACGTAATATTAACCAGACAGTAGTCGTCATACTACCACCGTGTAACAATGGAGACACGTCGAACAATGCAAAGTGATAAACTGTTTTATTATCATTATGACAATATCATTATCATTATCTGAAAACCTAAAAAGAAATGTTAACTCTTTCTTTACGGTATTAATAAAGCATTATTCCATTATAACGAAGGTCGTACATATGAATTAAAGCTATCTACCATGATGGGCCGATCGGCTAATACTGTTTATTTTTATCATGGACCGATCTCTCGAATACACTTTGTTCATGTTAAAACGGCAATATGCGTTGTAATAGTGTTTTTTGTTTACAGTTTTTCATTCCAATTCTATCATTACATTATATGGTGGAATAATAAAAGTAAATAAGTTGTTTATAGCAGTTACATGACTCGGGGTACAGTGCAGTGGGTTTGCCGTCTTTATTCGTCAGGCGAGGAGAAAATATTAAATGTGTGGATGTCATTGAGTGTTGTATGGTTTCTACCTTTCCATGCGATATAGTGTACAGTGAAATAAGTCTTACTCAGTTCAATGTGATAGTCAAAACGCGAATATCGGGGGTTTTCTTTTTGCAGTTTTTACACAATTACAAGTGTGTGTAATACACCTACACACGTTTTCTATAAGAGCACCGTTCTTGTGTTAGGAACAACTATTACGCAGTGTTATCCATGGGGACCGGACGGTTTGTGGATATGTCCTGGGTGAATCCATTTTGGGGAATATGTACAAATGGAAATCATTTGTAATCGTGTTCTGCGTCAAATCACTGATTTATATGATTGTCTATGAGAAAGTGCTCAAACTACTTATAGATTACACCCATGATAAGAAAGATTCCAGTGATTCGTGATTTCTGCTAGAAGTAGTGGAATGGAATGAAATGGAATGGAATGTATAACCCCTTTATGTAACTCACTCGTC